TCTAGAAAATTTCCTGAACTTTGAATGCAAAACCGTCTACCACATAATTGTCGCGCAATAAGCCTAAGTAACTAAAAATCTAGAGGATAAGCCATCAAACTCTGATAGTTTAGTATAAAAGGTAGGTAGAATATTATCATGAAATCCAAGGGGTTTAGATATGAACCTCAAACTACGAAATCTGGCTAATTTCCATAGAACACTTTGTTATTGTGCGCGGTAACCGAAATCTGGCCGTGATACATATTAACCATCCAATCTGGCTGCCTAAGCGAGAACACATGAGCAAAAGTGAAAGTCTGTTTGGCCACAGAATGTATGGATATGTACGAATACTTGTCTATATATGTATATCACTTCCTTAGAAAAGGAATCCATTTCTTGGCCAATGATATCCATTCATCATTTAAGACATTTTCTGGTGGTCATCAGATGGCTTTCTCATTTGGTCACTCTTGATTGGCTCACTATATCATGCTAAATGTTACAAGTGTGAAAGGTAAACCTACTGTTTATTTATCAAGAGTTGATATCGTTTCAAACGACTGAAGTTAGTAATTTAACATTTATTTGTGTGTTACCTAATAAAAAGACTTTAACTATAGTGTAGTGAACGAGAACACAGGTGGGGCAACCGAATTTTATTTAACGAAAATTACAGAGTTACTCAGTAAAATCGGAAAACCATATCGTAAATTGTTCATTTGCAAAATATCAGTTCATCATATCGAACTGGACTGTTCCTGTTGCAAAACATCAATCCATTGTCACTATTCATGCGTTTCATACAAATTCCATTGTTTTCTAACTCTTCCTTTCTTGATCTTCCCCCATCTTCTGCTTATGCATAAATAATGACTTCAGTTACCGAATAACTAGTTATACACTCACTTAGTTTTTGAAATCTATTCGATTGAACTCCAGTTCTATAAAGAAATCATTGATAGGGTTACCAAATTGAAATCAGTATTATATCAATATACTAAGCTATAGCATAAAATTATTGTCACAGCTCCATAATAGGTGAGATGTAATTGTTGGAAGTCTGTCTGTCTGTAATTGAAGTATAAATCACTGCTTAGATATCATTATCTTGAATCAGCTTAACCACTTATAGTACATATAAATTCTAGGGACTATAATTTTATATTCTGGTAGTATGAACTTTTTACACACCCTTAGTCTTTTATTTTTGTAGACTTGAATTTTCCAGGCCCGAAGAAAATAAATAGTAACTTTTTAGGACCCTAGATCATAAGCGATTCCGAAGATGGAAAATGCCAACAGTTTGATCATAAATCGACATGAGATGAGACATTTTCTCTCCTACAGTCAAGTTTCTATTGATTTTTTTTCAACTATCAAATCAAAATTAAATGATCAGTTATAGTAATCAAACAAATCCTACTGGCGGTTATTATTCACAAACCTTCTGGTCAATATGTGAGTGGTTCTGCATATATATATATATATATATATATATATATATATATATATATATATATATGTTATACTCATCTCTAGGTATGCTTAAAATTATTATGGGTTCACCTTAGTCGAATAACCAGAACAAACAATGAACCGGCGTCATGGTAGGTTACCATGATCCGTTGACCCAACTGTACCAGCAAGAAGTCTTGATATAGCGTAAAAATTGTATTCTTCAAACACCCGGCCAGCACACAATAAATCCAAGCACTCAAATAGCGTTTATTTATACTCTATAGTGATGTCCTTGAGACAGTCACAAAAATAGCACACTAAAATGATACAGTAACCAATCACAGCCAAGGATTTTCTTGGCGGGAAATGTGATCTCAAGGTCAAATGATCGATCCATGAAATCAATCCAGCATAAAGATATTGATCAAGCGAGTTCTGGGGGATCTAACATCCTCAACAATAAGGTTTCATTTGCTTTCTCTATGGTGTTAAGTTCTAGGTAGGTGGCGTTTAATCAAAATTTTCAAAATCCTGATGAATTTTTTCTTCTTTTTGAGTTATCCAAAATGTGACATTTATCTTTACTGTTTCATTGATTGTAAATTACTTGCACAGTAGTACATTCTTTACATTTATGTCATGATTCTTTATTGTTCTTTACAAAGAAATTGTGTTATATATATTTAATAGAACATTACAATTACAGTTTACAAACCCTAGATTTCATGTCATCATTATTTTATATACCGGTAAATTAATGAGATCAAATGAAATAATTTTAAGAAATACCAAACAAGAAATAAAAGATAAATAAATCTACAATGACAATATGAAATGAATTCTTTCTAACAATTATGCATCATTTCTTATTGACATTTTACATCAGTTTTGTTTTTATTTTTTGATAATTGGCCCCAATGAAAAATTGGTTATAATAGTTTCAATGGTTAAGATTGTATAGACTTCAAAGAAAGATGAATAAGGAATGATGAAACATTGAAATGGAAAATTTCAAAGTTTATTGACAATATCACTTGACCAATATAATTTGAAATCAATGAATGTGTAGAGTAACTTATTATTGATACCATTGAACAGATGACTAGTGTTGGGGATGTTAGATCCCCAAAATTCGATTGATAAATGCCTTATTTTGGTTTTTACGTTTGCCAGCAAGGGCTGATCAGTTGACCTTGAGATTTCAATTCCTACCAAGGTAATCCTTTGTTGTGATTGGCTGCTGTGTATTTCAGTAAGCTATTTTCGCAACTCTCTCAAGGACGTTTCTACGATGTATAAATAAACGAGACTTGTATGCTTGATTGTATATTGTGATTGCTGGGTGTTTGTAGAATATACTTTCTACGCTTTTATCTTCAGCTGGGGATTCAAGGTAGCCTACCTGGACGCTGGTAAAAGTCTCGTTCGGGTTTATTGACTAAGTGACGAGCGTAGCAACTAGATTCATTGATTTTTAGTTTTTATAAATGTTCATTTATTTTTATTCTTTGTCTTTATTTATTTAATTATTGATTCGATTAGTGAAATTTTATTTGTTGATTATTTTATTAATATGTATAAAAGATTTAAGTTTCAAGTATGTACATACATGTAGTTGAGACATGTGTTGCGTATGTATGACTAACCAACGACTACCTCGACGAGCTTTGTTTTGTGATGTAGGAGCAGGTTGGAAGAAGGTTAGAGGAGTGGCCAGAACAAATCATGACACAAATCCATGAAGTCATTGACAAGTGGACCGAGTCATGTTTGTAGGTATAGTCTACGTGGTTGGCGTCTGCGAGAGGACAGTAATAGATGGTTAGATACCTTGAATGACATGGCTCAAAATCGTTTGCAATGACGCAGGCGCATCCACTCTTTGTGTTCTATCAAATTCTAATCGTCTGAATTCATCATCACCTTTATCTTTCTTTCTAAATTTGTCACTGAATTATACTTCTTGAATAATTTCTTCGAACTCTAATCTTCTCTGTTACCACTAATACTTCTACTATTTCTACAATTATAGGATTTAAACTGACAATTGCATCTCTGTGCTAATGTGGTATGGGGCAACCTGAACTGATTGAAGTACATGCGTACGAGCTTCTACGTTGTAACAGACTAAGTGACATACAATTACTTCACTAGTTCTATTCAATGATAATTTAACAAATGGTTTCATAGAAAAAGAAAATATTCATTTGAATCATTCATAATTATATTAGTCCATTGTTCTAAGATAACAACTTTTTCGTTTCTTGTCTATTTATTAATTTTGTACACCTTAGTTTTTTGTTTCGCTGTTACTGTACCATGGAAATTTATGTTAATTTTGAAGATAATTTTCATAAATTCACTTTGTAGTGAACGAGAACACAGGTGGGGCAACCGGATTGTATTTAACGAAAATTACAGAGTTACTCAGTAAAATAGGAAAACCATATCGTAAATCGTTCATTTGCAAAATATCAGTTCATCATATCGAACTGGACTGTTCCTGTTGCAAAACATCAACAATCCATTGTCACTATTCATGCGTTTCATACAAATTCCATTGTGTTCTAACTCTTCCTTTCTTGATCTTCCCCCATCTTCTGCTGCCAGACATTACGTTTTCACTCGTTCATACACTACTTATAAGTAGCGCACACCACACTATCATTAGTTCATTGACAGGATGAAAATACACATCTGAGGTCGAAAATTATAAATTACTGAATTCATGAATCAATCAATGTTAGATTACGATTAGAAAACTGGAAGCACTGGAAAGCTGTTTCTTCCTAGTGTAAGATTCATTAGCACTGCCAATCCACAAACCATGTACCGAGAAATCGGATCCAGGACCTTCAGTCTCTCTGACGAACACTTCACCTATAGATCAATGAACCAGTATTCAATAGTGGTAATATCTAACTTTAATCAATCGGCATTATTTCTGCAAACTCACCCATTGTCATCAGTAGGTAGTTGGTTAAATCCAACACGGTTGAACTCCATTAGCCACAGTTTCTCACTAATGAGCACATTTCATTAGACTGTTAAACTTATTTATTGCTCTTCTTATAATTCAACAGTCAATTCATATTTAAACTATTCAACTTTCAAATTATTAACTTACAAGCGCTAAATTCAACTTCATCTAATTTCATTTTAAACATTAAAATTAATATCACTATAAGCAATCAAAAAAAAAGTTCAAAATTGACAGCTATAAACTTGAATTTGTTTGATAAAATAGTTTACAGCATAATATTTAAAAACAAACAAACAAACATTTCATTACAAAAAGCTTGTACAGCCATTCCGTTTTTTTTTAATTTTTGTTTTGAAGTTCTCAATGTTGACATTTAATCTAAAATTATTAGTATTATATTTGAAAAAGATAATATATAATTTATATTATTAACTAAATTATCATCAAACTTCAATAAATAAATTTTTTTTAAAAAAAAACATTATTTGTTTTAATTGATGATGATGAAAAGCGCGCTAGTTTAAATTACACATGTTTAATATGATTGAATAAACAAAAAAATATATATATAAATTTACAAATCCATTGTTTGAAATGCAACAACATGACATGTATCACATTGTGCATTAGCAAATCGTCCATTTAAATGTGCAACAGCACAACCAACTCTATATGGACCAACAATAACATGCCAATTACGACCATATTCTTTTTCTAATGCAATTGCTATAAATTGTGGTATCGTTTGAAAATCAATTTGTTTTTTAATTGCGATTTCAATTAATTCTATTAATTTTTGTTGAATTATTTCATATGAATGTTCAATCAATAATGATGATTCATCAATATCAATTTGATTATCATTATTCTTCGTCAGAAGATTCCATGAATTATTATTGTGATAATCTGATGGAACATTATCAGTGGAATAACTACGTTTATTCATCATTGTAAATTTACCAGTTGATGTAAATGATGACGATGATGATTGTGAATGATGTGTTATATCTTCAGTAGAACGAAATTTTGCTGCTGCTTGACGGAATGCATCATTAGTTGAGTCTAATTTCCCGCTTAATCGTCGATTATGTCTTTCACTTGGAAAAAAAAATAGTGTGAAAGACAATAATATTGTTTTATTCAATTAATTCTAGGTATAGTACAGTTAAAAGTTGAATCAAAATAGTAAAAACAGTTTATTAGTACTTACTCACTTACTTACTGTTGTAACGCTTGCTTAGATAATTCCCACCTAAATCCTATTGCTTAGTATTCTCTGACCACACAACACACTGGACAAGTTCCAAAGAATCGAAAACACAGTTGAACAGGAAAAGGTTATATTCCAAATAGTAAAGTTAAATGGAAATACGAAGCCAAAGGCGAAGTTTCCTAAATCAGAACATGGTGGAGCAGGAAAAAGATTATATTCCAAATAAAAAGGTTAAATGTAAATAAGAAGCCGAAGTCGAAGGCGAAGGCAAAATAGATACAACGTTAGTTTCTTTATAGTATTTACATGAGAAGCTTCTGGATTGTAATTCACGTGATCGACTAGATTAGATTTAGCCAATCATCACGCAGCTAACAACACGAGAATTTTCTATCCCGTTCTCCAAGAATCGATCAGGCGCTGATTGGATAGGAAATTAGCCAATCAGCGCACAACTAGCACAGTCATGCTTTAATCCATCTATGTTCAACTAACGCTTACTCACTTACTTACTTATGCACTTATGCACTTACTTACTCACTTACTTACTTACGTCTGTCATCTCCCAATGGAGCATAGACTACCGATCAGCATTCTCCAGTCTACTCTGTTCTGGGCCTTATATCTAAGTTATATCTAATTACTGTTCATTCTTTTCAAGTCTGTCTCCAATTCTTGGTGAAATGTGTTTCTTGTCCATCATTTTTTTCTTTGGCCTTGAGGATTCTAGATGAGGTTTTGTCTTGTGACGCAATTGGGTGCTTTCTGCATTGTGTGGCCTATCCACCTCCAGTGCGTTTTCATTATTTATTCATTTGCTGGAATCTGGTTTATTCTTTCTCATAATAGGTTTGTGTTGATGGTGTCTAGTCAACGGATTGGAAGTATCTTGTGTAGACAACTGTTAATAAAAATCTGTATCTTCCAGATGATAGCTTTCGTAGTTCTCTACGTTTCCGCCCCATACAGTAGAACTATCTTGACTTTCGTATGGAAAATTCTGATTTTGGTAATGGTTGACAGTTGTTTGGAGTGCCTTATCCAAAATCTTGTTGAAGAAACGTCAAAACTCTTCTGAAAGCAAACCTTCTAACTCCAAAGGCAGAGTTAAAATGGTTTGAATTATGTTTTCTGGTTAGCGATTTTTTTTTGCAGAATGGAGTCGACAATCCCATGCCCAACCTTCTTGCTTTATCCGAGCTTGGGACCAGTAGTAGCTCCAGAGAGGCTCCGGGTGGAGTTCAGTTTATTAGTAGTGAACACATTTTATAGTAAGCAAATAAAATTACCAATAGCCTTACTCATTCAAGTTTGTGATGGAGTTTCGTTCTTTGAGCTGAATGTTTTGCTTGTGGAGCTTCTTATTTGTTCTTCTAAACAAAATCATTAAAGCTCTAAGATAATAAAAATTCCCAACTTAATTGGATACTTTCCATAGCGTTTTATTCTCTGAGAGCCCATTTTATGTAATAGATTCCGATAATGAATATTGTCCAAAATTAAAATAAAAGCTTTACAATCAAACTAACTAGTTTAAAGAATAAAACACTATCTAAAAGGATTTGCCTTTATCTACTACTTATTATTTTGGGATCAGTTTTTGTTTGGTTCTCATAGCCTCAAATTACTGAATTTTAGTATGTAACAACCCCGACCGTGGCTGCTACCTTGACGTGGTGGTCGGGCTTGCCTATCGTGATGACCCAATCGAGCTATACTGGCTGGAACATATGTTCCTGCAGGTCCTCCCATACCAGGCAGGTCGATTGGAGAACGATGAGACTAAAAGCAGCTACCCAAGGTCTGAGGGCGACGTCGTACTGCTGACTGACTGAAGAGGGGTGTGACAGCAGTAAGGTGTTTCCCTCGGATAACCAGCATCTGCAGCGATGCTGCCTTCTCACAAGGAAGGAAGGGTTAGAAAAGGTCGGCCCTAAAAATGTCACACCTCCCCTACCTCACGGATTTCCGTCTCCTTGGGTAAGGGTGCCCACTAAGGGCCTTTAAGAACGGAGCTAATCCTCAAAAAACATTTCTTAAAAAGGCCGTGCGTGACCGGCCTCAAGCAGTTGTCCCTTGGGCTCTGCGGTCACGCACCAACACTAATCCATCTTCCTTTTCAGGTCCCTCAAGAAACAACCTTCCACGGTGTGGGCTGCCGGGAAGTGACAACCGCCCACATACCCGTAACAGCACGCGAGACCATATTGGTCAAAATCAAATCCTTCCTAAAGTATGTAACAACTACATATCATTGAGTTTCTGATACAGATTCTTAGTAGATTGAGAGATTTTTTTGTTGTAAATCAGTATATATTGAACAATTAACAATAGCTACAAAGTAATTGATATTTTTCTTTTAATGAAAATGCTAAGATTTACAATTCCTATCGAGATTGTACTAAAAATTACTTGAAACCTTTGTATTTAACGTATTATTTGCTTCCATAGAATAACTATGGAAAACTTTAGTCATATAAATAAATATCAGCAGTAAAAGACAACTGGTTTATTTTTAATGGTATCATGGATAAAGTTCCTTATACACCAACCAACAAGCCCATGAGGTAGAAAAAAGACAATCGCTTACCATTATTACTTTTATTCTAGAACAACAAACAATGACCCGATAGGAAGTAATTCTATTCAAGCTAATGTTCGCTGATTTGAAATTCCATTAAGAATTGAAATAATATTCCTATTGATTAAAATCTATTCATAGAGAAATTTTAGTTCCATACTCTCTCTATCTAAACATTTCTAAATTGATGTCAACGGTTAAATATGCTTTTTAATAAAGAAGTCAACATATTAATTTTTAGTGTAGGAAGATTGATAGGGATTATAGAGTTTGCTTGCGAGATAGAAATTGTTAGGCATAACTCCTGGATGGAGAATCTTGAGTGATCACTACTGAATATCCCTATACTAGAAAGAAACGAGCATACAGTGCCTCCAAAGTTTACAATAGCAGTTCGTAATTTAATCAAGAGAATATTCATTTCTGTTATCATCATTGGAAGACTCTGAATACATTTACATAAATTGTATGCGTCAGTCAGTTACAATGTAGAACTTCGTACGCATGTACATAAGTTCAGGTTGCCATACCACATTAGCACAGAGACGCAGTTCTCAGTTCAAATCCCAGTGGTAGAAATAGTAGAAGTATTAACGGTAATAGAGATTGGGGTTCGAAGAAATTATTCAAGTATAATTCAGTGACAAATTTAGAAAGAGAAGGCTGATGAGGAATTTAGACGATTAGAACTTTATAAAGCACAAAGAGTGGATGTGCCTGCGCAATCGCAAGCATTCTTGAGCCATGCCGTCCCAAGGTTTCTAACCATCAGTTATTTTCGTCTTTCGGACTCCAACCAGGTAGTCTACACCTAACAACAGACTCAATCCACTTATCAGTGACTTCATGGATCTGTGACATGCTTTGGTTCGGTCCCCCCTAACCTTCTTCCAACCTGCTCCTATGCCACAAAACATCGCTCGTCGAGGTAGTCGGTGGTCGGGCATTCGTGACACATGTCCCAACCACCTCAGCTGATGAAGTTTCAACACTTCATCTATTGAATTACCATCCCTACCTAGTACTCGTTTCCCAACGACAGGATTGCTTACTCGGTTGTTCCAGGATACACGAGTAATGCTTCGAAGACATCTATAATCGAATACTAATAACCCACGAATATCCTCAACTCTTAACGGCTATGTTTCGCATTCATATAGTAGGACGGAGAGAACTGCTGCTCAGTGGACCCGTTCTTTAATTAGAAAAAGGATATCTCGCCTACGCCATAAGTGACACAAGTTGGCAAAAGCCAATCGAGCCTTTTGTATATGCCCTGAGATCTCATCAGACATCAGGCCATCAGCACTGTTGAGACTCTCAAGATAATTGAAACAGTCAACATGCTCAACTGCTTCACTCCCTATCACCAGTTTTAGGTGCCGTCGCAAGCTCATTTCGAAGCAACCTTTTGCATTTGTAGGTTTGAGTAACGTGAACTGCCCAGGGCAGAGTAAGCTGAGAATGTTGGTCAATGACCTATCCTCTACGGTTGATAAGAAGTGTAATTACGTAATTAAGTAATCTGAATTCACTGTCAAATGACTGTAAATGATGAGCAACATAAGATATATGTTAAATTCAAGATCGGTATACGTATATATATTTTGTTCAGTGTTTGATTTTATTGGTAGTTTTCAAAATATACTACTAATTATTGAATACTAAATATGATGACATTATTCCTCTGTGATCTACACTGATATCACATCTGTTGATGTTTTAATTAAAATTCGTATTTCTTATTCAGAAAATTTTGTCACTGAAATATTTCAATCATTGTGAATAACTAATCACTAACATGACAAAATATTCTACTTTTATGAAAGTTTAGTCGCTTAAATAAAATTTCAACATGATCAATCTCAATCATTAACTAGATTACTTGAATAGAATGTGTTACTGCATTCGAAACTACAACCTCTTAGTTAAAAGTTAAGTACATGATATAATGAGTAATATGTTAAATTGTATGATAACTCAGTAGTTTAATTGTAACGCATTTGGTGAAAGAATTAAAATACAAGTATACAATTTTCTGTAGTTTGTATATTAGGATGAGATATCTGCGCAGTTATCCATGATTTCTAATGGTTTTCAAGCAAAAAAGACTGTAGTGAACGAGAACACAGGTGGGGAAACCGAATTGTATTTAACGAAAATTACAGAGTTACTCAGTAAAATAGGAAAACCATATCGTAAATCGTTCATTTGCAAAATATCAGTTCATCATATCGAACTGGACTGTTCCTGTTGCAAAACATCAACAATCCATTGTCACTATTCATGCGTTTCATACAAAT